ATATATATATATAGAGAGAGAGAGAGAGAGAGAGAGAGAGAGAGATTTAATGAAAAGGAGGCCATGAATTTGAAAATAAACATGGAGGGTACATTAGAGGCTTTGGAGGGAAGACAGAGAAAGAAATGAGTTAATTATATTAATCTCAAAACAGATCGTGTGTCTATCCTTGGACCCCTCTTCTTTTTTTGTATCTTTTTGTGTCCTTTACTGTAAAGGACACTTCTTTATGCTTCTGTCTTCAAAGGGAGTAATTCTCTTCTTCACTCCACAGTACCATGCATGCAATTCTATGATTTCTAGTGCATTATTTTGTTTCTATGACTTTAATAAATTTGTTTTCCTAATTACAAGGCTATGTTTTTGATGAGTAAAGGAAAGTTTTATAGATTTAGAAATGAATATTTTACTTTAGGCATATGCTGTGAAATACACACACACACACACACACACACACACACCCCAGAACTCATATACTATACATACCAAAACATACATACTGTAGTACACACTTTATAAAATTAAAGTAAATCCCATGGCCTTTAAGATGTCTTCTGAACCTGAAAAGGTTTTATACTTTTATTATTTAAATTCAGATCACTGATTCCACTTGAATCACTCAATAGGATGACAGGAACATTCGAAAGCATATATAAACTAAAAGGTAATTATACTTTAAAATATTACTGTTATTACAATGCCAATATGTGGAATGTTTTTTAGAAATGTTAATTGGATAGAAATAATTACATACCATCTAGTAATTACAGAAAAAGAAGATAAATGACAAACTATAACTTTAATTAGAAGTAAGGTTCTTCTTTGGTAATATACAGTATAGTGGAACTTGTACAGGGAGCCTTGAAATCTTTTGCTGGCAGTGAAATACAATAGGATCTAATTCAATTCTGCAGTTCAATGTACTGGCTCTTTGGACAGTCATTTTACATGCACACGCACACGCACACACACACAGACACACATTATTTTTTCTTTTGTGCTGCTGGACATGCACATCCTTGACCAGGTCTTTTTGATTATTTGCTTCTTTATTTGTAAATCACTTATAAGAATATTTTTACTATATGACTTTGTTGCATTATATGAGAAATTAACTCACCACACAACACTAAGCACAGAGTAGCTGCCTAGGAAACTTTGTATGTCTCCAACTCATCTAATAGTTTAAAAAGTCCAATATAGGCTAGGAGAGATGGCTCAGTGGTTAAGAACATGGGCTGTTCTTCCCAAAGACCTTGGTTCAGTTCCCAGCAACTATCTGTAACTCAAGTTTCAGGTAACATCATGCCTTCTTCTGGCACCTGTTGGCACCAGACATGCATGTGGTGCACAGATATACATGCAGACACAACATCCATGCACATACACATACAGGGGTACAGAGGTAGTATGTATTCATACAAGTTTTAAATTAAGTGACTCAAACTTGGCTGATGTTAAAAGTTATTACATAGAATGTAAACAACTATAATAAACCTGGACTTTCTGTTCTATTTAGTAAGAATGAAATGTCTCTATTTTACAAAGAGTGTAAAATGGTATGATTTTGCAATGTCATACCTGGACCAAGTTCATGAGAGTATCTCTGAAGTGTCCTGAGGTGTCTGAATAAATGTCCTCTTGAAGGTTATTGCTGTATTCTGGACAATAAAATATCCATGTTAAAAACATGACTTATTACAGAACCTCATATCAATGGACTTTTACATGCTATTGAATGTTAAGTATGAGGAAGCCACCCATCAGCTGGCTTTTTTTTTTAATCATAAACTATGTTAAAGATACCTGCATGTTAATAATATCAACCTAGGTCTGGTTTACTAAACATATTGTTTTTGAGTCAACATTGTAAAAGAACATTAGAAATCACTTCATAGGTTATTAATTTCATCCTGTAGACCATCGACTAGGCTAACCATGTTCTCAAGTGCTCTGTCTGTCTCATTGCAATGTTCCAAGTGAAAATGTTTTATTCCACTTAGAAAACCTTTCACTTTTGTTCAGAAGCATAAGGAGTGACTGTGAGACCACTCAATGCTTCCAAAACACAGTGGGATGGAAATTAATGCATTATAAATTTTTTGATATGAAAATAATCATAGTTCTATTTAAAAAAGTGAAAAAGTTTGATTTTGAGGTAACTTGTTGGAACAGTAACATTTATGTAAAGTAAAAAGATGTATTTGTGAGCAATGGTCACCATTTGTTGTATTTTGTTGATACTCAAGGTGTCTCTTGGGTAAAGGACAACACTCCCCTGAATCAAGATGCTGGGCTCTTCCTGTCATATGAAAGCATCTGTCTCATAGATATTTGTTATCACACTTGAGCAAAATTTGCTTGATTTGCTGGGGAATTATTTCCTTTTCGGGGTCATAATCATCAGTTTTATTTATTGAACCAATTGGTTTTGAGTGAGTCATTTTGCTTCATTTTGTTGTCTTTCATATCTTAGTCTTCTGATTGACTATAACTGTATATATTTATATGGTAAGATATAACGTTTCAATCTATGCATACATTGTGCGATGCTATCCGCCACTTATCATTCCTATTTGATATAGCCACTCCTCTCTGTTGGCTACATTGATGTATAAAATACATTGTTATTATTTCTCTTCACTGTACTGTGAAGCAGACTATAAGAACTTATTTGTGACAGTGAAGCAGTTGATCAGCCTCTCCATCCTTCCTTCTACTGACTTTAGAGCTACCAAAAGTCTTTACTTTGCCTCAATGAGTCATAGTTTAAATGTAAGGGTGCCTATAATCTTGGTTGTCATCTTGACACATCTAGGGAGAGAGAACATCATATAAATCATTGATTCCTTTAGACTGGTGTGTGGACTCTCTGTAGGAGAATTTTCTTGTTCGCTAATTGAGGTAGGAGGGTGATGCCTATTGTGGCTGGGGTCGTCCCTGGGCAGTTTGGCCTTGGCTTGACAAGAAAGGTAACTGAACAAAGCAGGGAAAGCAAGCCAGTAAGAAGTGTTTCACTATTATCTCTGCTTTAGCTCCTGCTTCAGGTTTGCATTTGAGTTCCTGGTCTGACTCCCATCAGTGATGAACAGTGATGTGTAGTTCAAATAAACTGCCCCTTCCCTCTTGCTGTTGGTCAGCGTTTTGCCCTAGCAACAGAGAAATAAGCCAGAACAGTGCCTTGAAAGAATTTAAAATAAATACATGAAGTGGAATACTTTTATGTGTCATTTGGAAGTGTGGTTGTACATATACACAATGTATACATATTTACGTATTTCCTTACGTAAACAGTAGGCTTCTCGCATCTGGAAAATCTCTGCATTTGTTCTCGAAGCTAATATTTCAATGAGGCAATTCTCATCAGTTCCTGCTCCCTAAAAGTCAGAGAGAAATATGAAGATACTTTTATTTGGAACAATAGGTCTATTTTATATACAATAAATGAACAAAACATTCCTGGTGTTTTTAGAGTAGGTACATGGGAAAGGAAAGGCTTTCTGTATAAAAGCCCACTCTCAGGTTTCTATCAAGTGTTCACTGTTTTATGTCCCTTGAAGGTTGATGCTATCTGCAGGAACTTGGTCCCTTTACTTAGAACAGCACTATGGGCATCAACATGGGAAAACACACTAAATGTTTCCACTTTCATTTGAAGTGGAATTTGAAACTCTGTGTGTTGCTGGAATATCAGCTCTTAAGCAGTTTGAAATTAGAACATAGGTCCCATAATTTATCAAGTCAATTTTGGTGACCCATGCTTGTCTCTCCCTGGCTGTGGAACTGTTCTCAGATGGCCTCAACATTTGAACTGACTGTGTTTTGTTGTATCATTATGTATCATAGAACACAATGATATCATTAATCTGTTATTATGATCTTAAAGGCAACATATCTTTTCCAACAAGTCTTCAGGGGAACACTTCATCATCCTGTGAAGTGCTGAGAAAGCTTGTTGTTTCCATCTAAACTGTAACATGAGACCTCATTCTTACGATTTTCTTCTACATGGTTTTGTAAGAAATGGTGATTGGAATGTAAAATTTGAAAAAAAATTATTAGTTGGAATTCCTATGAATTTTATTAAATCACTGTTCTAATTGGTATATATTATGGCCAAAATCCATGTATCTTTAACATTTTTGTCTCTTGCCTCATCTCTGTCACACACTAGCGTGATCTGGTCTTTGGCAAGCACTTTATGGAAGTATTGAAATGATCTTAAAGGTGTTTAATGCCAGCAGTTAAAAGAAGTCAAAGGCCCTCTTTTCCCCACATCTCCATCATTAAAATCTATAATTTATTTCATAAAATGACTTTTTGGTAAGATCTTAATTTTTTAGAGAAATAATTTTGGTGCATCAGAGCAAGTACTCTCCATATGTATTTAACTTATGGTCATAAAAATAACAGTGTCATTGATATTTTGACTCTGATACAGTATTTTATTTCAATTCTGAGCCAAATGTTAACAAATAAGTTTAAAAGATGTGAATTTAAACACATCTTCCTCAACATGGGACCATATATGGAAGACAGACAAATCTGAACAGCACCAGAATCTACTTTATTCATTCCTGTTGGACCTGAGCCTGAAGATGGCAGAGTATGTCTGAGTCTCTATAACTGAAGAATAGGCTGGCCTGGCTCTTTGACTCAGACACTCTCCTTTCCCAGGAAGCCGCCTTTACCAAAGTATTTCCATAGTTTTATGATGGGTTAGATACTCTCTTTTATCTCCCTGATCATACAAACTTCAGGACCATTACAGGGAAGTCTGTCCTTTGTTGAAACCTGAGCCTGTCTCTGTTATAGGTGCATTTTTGAATCAGTCTGTATCAGATGCAGGTACATTACTGGGCCATTCACCTTCATGGCATGCCAGAGCTCATGAGCATCGTAAGATGGTGGAGGATACATCAGGCCCACCATCACTTCTTTGAAGTGAGATGAAAGTTGCTCCTTCAGATCTACAATCAGGTCCTAGGAGGAAGAAGTAAATATAAAAATTAAAACATGCACCAAATTTATAAGAGAAATACGACTGTAAGAAATCATTTATGAAAACGTCCTTTTTGTATCACCAAACAATAGGTCTGGTTTGATTCACGCACATGTCTTTGGGTTACACTAGACAATGGATTTGAGGGTTTGAAATCACTGATTTTCTAATTACTTTTGCGAATGACCAAGTGTGGAAATTTTAGTCACAGCAGTAAAGGAGTTATTTCTATTTATAATACTCAACCCTTATGCTTCGTTTGGTGTCCTTATGAAAATAAATATTGAACCTGCAAACATTTGAGCTTGCAGTCTTTTGTTTTACTGAATATAATTTATATTTATTCTTAAATAAATTATATGTGTTACCTTATTTCCTCATACAAAGTATCTTTTAGGAGGGTGTACTTGGTTACTCTGTGGGCTAAAACTTACATAAACTGATTATTCTTACACATTTTTCAAATAATAACATTATATAAAATATTGAATGTTACTTAAATAGAGAAAACATACATGCTAAATTTTAGTTCTTAGAATTACAGGTATACACAAATTAAGCTAGTACTTTAGTTTGTACTTTCTATTTTTGTGTTTTGCTAAAATATATAAAGTATATCTAGTTCTACTTAAAGATGTACAATAGCATTTAGTATTTTACACTGTTACTAAATCACAATAAACTTTATTAGAATAAATTCAATCTTGTCATACTTTATTTGCAAGGCAGAGATATTAAAAAAAATGATAAACTTGAAGGACCTGGAAGACACTGGCTGGGGAAAATAGAATGTCCATATAAAATGGCAAACTAACTTCAAATCAACATCAAGTGGGTTTAAAATCTCAATGTTCATGGAGATTCAGACATTGTTTGTTCCAACTTGTTTTAACACACACAGAGGAACTGGGATCTGGGCAAAGCAGACAGAAGTGTGTGAGAATTTAAGTAACCACGATTTACTGCTCCTATCTCCCAGGATGCACTCTGAGGATGTGAAAAAATTTTGACTCACTACATCAATTCTGTAAGCAGCTGTAAATAGAGCACGGAATAGGTGAGAAATGAGAGATAGGGCTTGGATACGACCTCTTTACAGTTTTTAAATGACAGTCTTACTGTATTGCCTAAGTTGGCCTTGAGTTCACTATCCTCCTGCCTCAGCCTCCTGAATACTGTAATTACAGGTGCGACTCATGCCTATCCAACCTGTTTTGTAATGCCTAGAAAGCCTAGAAAGTGAATACAGCGTATTTTTTGAGAATGAGGAGTTTATGTCCACATGGATGTGATACACTGGATTGAAATGTTAACATATACAGATGTATTCAATTTCCATTACGACAATATGCCATTAGGAAGATATAGCAATGCTCGGACAGTTAATACAAAGGTGTAACACTTGAACTGGCTCCTGAGCTGCCAGGCTTTCTCTAATCCTAAATTAATCCCTTATTTGATATTTCAATAATATTGAATTTATTATAACAATCAAGGTATATGATAAAACTTTATATGTGTAGATCTGTCCAGTCTATGTATATAATCAAAGTATATGATAAAACTTGATATGTGTATATCTTTCCAGTGTCTATTAATATACAGATTGTCTCAAAAAACTTCCTAAAGTCAGCATTTAACGATATGACAGTGTTGTAGAACGTGTAGATATAATATATATAATATGTAAGTGGATCCATAAAACTTAGAGAATGAACAAATCCATGAATAAGTGAGCGTGGAAAGAGAAATGGTTTTTATTATGTGCCAAGAATGAATGTACTATTTAAGTTGAAGATTATTTGATCATTCCAAGTTTTTGATTTAATCTTTTAGCATATCTGTTTGATTGCTGCTCTTATATGTATAGAACAGCCTCTTCACTTCTTTACACATTGTGCCAATTCTAGACAAATATTGAATATGTATTCTACTACAAACTGAGGTTAGAGTTGCCACTAGATGGCAATATGTATCTTCATTTTGTTCTTCTCTTTCTCTCTCTCTCTCTCTCTCTCTCTCTCTCTCTCTCTCTCTCTCTCTCTCTTTCTTCTCTTTCTCTCTGGCAGCTCAGGAGCCAGTTCAAGTGTTACACCTTTGTATTAACTGTCTGAGCATTGCTATATCTGTGTGTGTATGTGAAGACAGAGAAAAAGAGACAGTGCTATAGTAAGTTTGCTTTTAAAAATTCAGTTAACAGTTTAGTGAAAGAAGCCATGTTTTTAGACACCCTTTACTGCTAGTATATTATAGTTTTGATCTTGTGAATATTACTGGCATGGGACTGAAAGAACTAAATTTCTTTGCAAATTTTACTTCTTCACTGGACTAGTACAAGTATTGTAAGGGAATTGTTAAAAATGCTTTTTAACACTCCAAAATGTACTCCAAAAATGCTACTCCCTCCAAAATATTAAAAAAATGCTTGTGCATCAGTAGTCTTTAGTTATAAACAATGACAATATAGTATGGCTTCCATCTTCCTGTCTTCACAGTATGTGTCTCTTACTATCCCCACAGCTCAGAGCACTGTCTGTTATCTTTCATTTCTTCTATTTTCACCATGCCTGATGTCAGTACATACTATTGTCTCTAACTTAGAAACACAGCCATGTTCTGTGGGCTGCACCTATGGTGATTCTATAAGAACACATGGGAGACCAGAAGTTCCCAATGCTTAGTGACTCTCAGGGTCCTGATTTGAGCAAATGTAGTCAGTCTTTGATGTGCTTGCAATGAATGCATCTAATGCCTTGCTCAGCCCCTGTCCTTGGTAAGCAGCATGTGCTTTCAGTCCTAGAACTGGAGAACAGTACTGGCCAACTCTGGCCAACTCTTGCTGCTTCCCCTTCTACAGTCCTTGGCCAAGCCATCATCTTCTCTCCTCTCCAATAACAGAGTAGTCATCTAATGAGCTCTTCTGTGCTTATACCCCGCGTTCCCTCTAAAATATTGATGACAAGATCCTGAAAAAAAAAGGCAAATCAGAATAACTATTCATCTGCTTTAAATGTTCCCCTATTCAAAAGGAAAACATTGTCATTCTTCTTCATGATTTATCTCAGAAGAAAGCAGGCACTGAATACGTCCTTGCATGTAAATATGAGTGTAAATTCTTACCAGTGTTGAAAAGATTCATAGTACATTCTGATTATTTCTTGGCACACATTTTTGTCCTAGCTCCTGATTGGTCTACTCTAGCTATAGTGGTCTTCCTGCTTCTGCTCTGATGCTTGACTTTGACCTTCACTCTGCTTTTCATGTTCTTCTCCATTGTTTCCTCATCCTTCAGACTTCTCAGAGAAAATGTACTGAGCCACTCATTCATGCAGTTCCCCTGCACTTACTGCCTTTCTCACCTGACATTGTCTTTAATTCCACCGCACCCACTTCAAACTGATATATTTTTACCAAATAATATTCCTTCTCACCAAGGCAGGAATCGGCTCCGCCATGGCAGAGAATTGACCTGCTTTATTCCCAGCTTTTTCATCAGCCCGTGGAACTGTGCCTGGTAACTACTAAGTACTTGTACAATAATAACAAAGCAAGCAAATGAATGGATAGGACAACATGTAGTTTAACAATTATTTGTTTGTAGTCATTCTTGGCTGGTGTGAAAATAAACAAGGAAAGCAATCTCTGTTCCCAGCAGCTTCCCTTGAGTGGAGGGTACAGAAATCAGGGAAAATAGCCAAGGCACAGTGAACAGCAGGCTGCGGTCTATAGAGGGGAGAACAGCATGCTATTATCAGGGCACCAGGAAGGAGACTGTGCCTTCAGCCGGGAAGATAAATATTGAATTGTATGCTTAAATAAGTATACTTTGAAAGTTCAAAGAGGAACATTCAAGTTGGCTTCCTAATTAGACCCTTATATTCTCACTTGGAGTTATATAAATAACTTCTCAGATGCAACCTCTGGAGTGTGACTTTCCCTAGCCTCATCGCCTCTGATTTCCTATTTTCTGAAGCCTTGCCCTGAAGCAGGCTCTGCCGGAATCACAGCTTGGCCTTCCATTAAGCTAATGAGTACTTGCCTTTCAAATTGAGATATTCGGTGCCACTGCCGAAACCATCTGACCACTCTGATTAAATTAAAAATGAAACAACAGTTTCTCATCCATGACTTCTTGTTCACATCTTCTTATGGATGAAATGGGGGTCAAAAGTGGACTATGATGTTCTACTTGTTTGAATATACTCAGGGGAACACTTTCATATGCTTTTAACTTGTATGCCTCTTCCTAATTAATCATAAGAACAAGATCTGTTATTGAAATACTCAAAAGGAGAACACATAGAGTGAAAGTGTAAATCTGTCTTAACTCTACTTACTGTGAGGTCCCTGTATAAACACACAATTGTGCTTCATTATAAAGACATCTGTGCAAGTTGTATTCTGTTTTTTACAGTAAGAAAATATTCTTCTAAATAGCTGTGCTCCACACACATTTTGTTTAGTGCTTCAGTTTCTGATGCAGACATGAGTTGTTTCTCTTTGTCTGATGGGAATGATAATAGTTTGATCTTCTAGAGAAACACAGCATATTGAAGTTGGTACAGTTTGGATCTTGGATTTTTCCTTGGAGGCTCTTGTGTTAACACTCAGAGCCCATTCTATCTCTATTAGGAAGTAATGGACGTAGGACCTAGCTAGACTTGTTCTGAAAACTATTTGGTTTGGGTATTAATGTGAAATGTTGGGCAGTGTATGCAGATAGGAAAATACTCTTTGGGTCAGTTGACACAGGTAGTTAAGTCATGTAGAACTGGACCATAATTATACAGGGGCATAACCAAGGCTGTTCTCATAGCTCTGGTAAGTGGATTACCACTGTTGATGATTTAATCTTTGTTATTCAAGTTTGGGCTTTTGGGCTGAAAGCTTTAAATTAATACTTGAAAAGTATAAATTGTGTAATTCATTGGGTCTGTAACTGTTGAAAATATTATGACTTCTGCTAATACCTTTGATGGCA